CCCTCCGGCCACCCTCTTACCCACGCCCCCAGGTAGCATGGACAGCAGCCCAGGCCTGGACAGCCCCCTTCCCTGCTCGGCCTATAGTTACAGCCACTGCCCCAGAGCAGACACGCCCGGGTTCAAATCCAGCTGCCAACACTCAGGAGGAGTGACCCCGGCCCAAGAACCTCACCTCTTGGAGGCTCCGTTCCTCCTCTGTGGAACAGGGACAATTTTGAGCGTTGACAGGAAAATGAAGGTAACAGGACTTAGCAGATCATCTGACCAAGAGTGGGTTCTCCACTCATGGCAACTGCTGCTGCCGTTATCTTGTTATTAAATATTGACCTTTTGCCGAAAAAAATCCGGGCTGCTTATAACAAAGGCTCAAGTCTCCTGGAGTGAGCAGGGAAAACAACAAAGGGAGACCCATGGGAATAGCAGCATGGGAGATAGGCGGTAGTGAGCTCTCCAGCACAGAGGTAATCAAATTGTGGGGCGATCTGACCAACAGAACAGGATGAGGAGCAGAGCTTTGACTTGAAAGTGTTCCTCGTTCCTGCTGAGCCCTGAGTTTCCGTTACTTCTGTGCACTTCTTGGAGAAGGTGACCTAGGAGGAGGAGGTCAGGGTCAGGAGACAGAAGGATCAGGCTGGGAACAGCCTGGCCCAGGGGGACGGAGAAGATAAGTCTGTCTACCCCAAATACTAATGCTGTTGTAAAAACCCCCATTTATTGAGCAACTACTGTGGGCTGCCCTTTGCATCATGAAAAGTAACCGTCACTGAGGCCGTGAGGGCCCTCGACTCTGAGCGAATCCACCCACAGCTCTACCAGACGGAGGCTGTAGACGGACTCACTCCTATCTCAGAAAGGGACACCGAGGCAGGAGAGATGAAGTCTCCCACCCAGGGTCCTATGGCAAGGCGGTAGTTGACAGGGCGTTCAAAGCCAGGTCTGCGTGACCGCGAAGACCACACTCTCCACCACCTCCCAGCACCACGCCCGGCCTTACCCACCTGAAACCGAGCTCTGGCCCTGCCCTCCC